AAGTCAGCTCTTTGCAGGTGGAGTTGGAGGTGCCCTTGAGACATCTAAGTGCAGTGTCACAAGCTCACAGAGGAGGTCTGGGCCCAGGATGTGCATATTCCTATAATCTCAATCCCTGAGGACCCCGAGGTATTGATCACTGAATGTGAAAACATACTTTAAGGACAAGTGAATAGTAGTATCATCTCTGTCATCAAAGCTCACGTCTCTTTTTTCATCACTCACTTTTCTAATTGGGTACTTACAGAGCTGTCTTCACCGCCCTCCCCTGGGCTCAGGCTCCACAGTAAAGAGCTGGTGAGCCTCCCTCTTTTCCAGAAGAAGACACATTTAGCTGATTGTCTTCTATAACTCACCAGACTTAGAATTTTAGTTTGTTGTTTTAATTCTATTTTCTGTTGGCCATCTCCTGACAGGAGAGACGTTTTACCTCATGGTCATGTTTCAATTACCTGTTACTGATAATTGCTTTTCTGATCCATAGTGTATGTATTCTATTAACATCATAGAATACTTAAAATTTTTCTGTCTTTGCCCTTTAATTTTGTTTCCCCCTTCAAGGTTCCATCCTATATGGGGCCTAATTTTTTTTAATTAAAAAATGTCTGTTAGCAGTTAAAAAAACAAAAGCAAAGAAAAAATGCACATAATACCTAAATTTAGAAAATATCTTGTGTGTTTTCTATCTCTGCAATGGAGTGTTCTAGAAACTCGTGAAAACCTTCATAACACAAGTTCCTTAAAATGCTGATTAAGAAATAAAAGCTTCCTTCCTCATCTTTCAAGCTGCACAGCTAATTGTCAAGAAAGTAAGGGGAAATCCTCAGAAGCCAAGACAAACCATAAAGCAGGGATTCTGGGAGATACTCGAGCCTTAGAAGCCCTGGGGTGTCAGTTGTCTCCTGAACTGAGATTCAGATGCCCTGACAAGAGGGCAGGAGGTGAGCCCCAGGCCTCTCACACTGAGAGTTGGATGGCTGATCCTATGAAAGGCCAAGCACATCCTGAGAAGCCTGCTTTACTAAAGGGTGAATTAGAAAGAAAGAAAAAAAATTCCTTAAGGCAAGAAAATAAGGAAAGTCAATTTTGTTGGAAGAGTGGAAAATTAACATATCCAAAGTAAGGATTTAGTTTAAAGCTGTTCTGGCATGAGAGTGACCACAAACTCCTGGCAGAAAATCACAGCCCCTCCCGGAATGAGAAATTGTGTTTTGAATGGATCACTGGACAGCCATTCTGAAAAAGGCCTCCAGAGTCTTCTGGATCAAGATAGTGGACCCAAACACCTCTCTTCCAAGGTCTCATTTAAATAACCAGAAAGGTTTTAAAGGAAAGAAGCTATAATCATACTTCTATTTATTGACATTACTATATGCTAAGAATTCAGATGTGACTATGGAGTTGTCTCCTCTTTTATGGACCTTACTTTCTCTTTGACCTAGTTGGGGAGCTGGGTAGAGGGAGGTGCTAGTCTGTTGCAATTAGCCAGGAAAGGAGATTAAGAAAACAGTGAAGGGTGGGTGACATTTTTAGCTGAGGACAGTCCTGTTCAGTTGGCTTTTAATTGCAGGCTCGATGAGTTGTCACTGGAGGGAATTGATTTTACGGAGGATGGACTTAACTCAGGCCTCTTTAGAATGGACAAGTGAACCTGGAGAAAGACATTCAAATCTTTGCAGACATTAAAGTCCACGTGAACGTGCTGTATCGCTGGGCCAAAGATAGGACAAGTAGGCAGCACTTCTTGAGGACAGAGGAGTGGTTTTTAAGGTTCTCCAAGAATGAATCCCAGGGAACCGAGATGGCTAGTTGTCAAACTGTGACTTTGCTCTTTGGACGGTGTACGCACCAAAGGTATTGGCCGTTTATACGTTTTCATTTCTCTTTAATACATGTCATGTGATGAGGAAGTGGGCACAAGCGTTTGACACCTTTTCCAGGTGACCTTGGTTACCTGCCTAGAAGCGCGGGCACAGCTGCGGCTGCGTCAAACATCTTGCCGCCCATCCCGTTCCCTGGCTCCGTGATCACGGCAGAGTGGTTTCTTGTTGACCTGTCCATCACCCCTGTGACATCGTAACCCAACAAAAGACGGGAGCGTATTAGCTTGGCTTTGTTCTTTTCCATCCTTCTCTTTGAATGATGATGACTGGTAGTGGACTCAGTTACGTTAGCAGAAGTTTTAGAAGTAGGGCTCTCAGTACAAACCTTGTAATCCCCGCTTTGTGATCTAGAGAAGAAAGTTTCATTCTTTCCAAACAGTTTTGATGCACTTATGTGGGAAATTGGTTTAAGATTGAATATGTATTTCCTCTCTGAATCATCATGGCTAGAGATCAATCTGGGTGGACATGGAATGTGTTTTATGTATTTGAACTGTATGGTCCCGAAATTCTCCCCAGCTTTTTAAAATCATCACTAGAGTGCTATCTCCAGAGTGTCCCAAAGCATCCACCACTGCCTGTTCTTCAGACACTGTGAATTTCCATGTTGGGAAAGGCTGCTGTCTGGTGAGGCATTCTCTGGCACATCTCTGGCTGGCTGATGTGGGCTTAGCACCCAAGACTTGGCAGACAGTAACTAACCATGATCAAGTCCATTTCTGGAACACTCATGGAGGATTTTACACCTATGCTAGTGGCATACGTTATTTCATTTGGTTCTCCCAACAATCATAATTAGATTTTATCACCTGTATTAATAAGGAAACTGTCAAAGCGAGTGACGTGCAGACTTTGGACTTGAAAACAGGTCTTTCTGATTCCTGTCTCTGTTCCCTCCACGGCCTATCCTTCCAGATGGCCAGGGGACTCTTCCTGTGTCTTGAGTTTCCTGCTGATGTTACCACTCTCTTTGTTTCTAGGAGAGGAAAACAAGTCTAAACTTACTTTCCAGTTGGAAATGGAATGGAGAGTTAACGTTGGAAGCCGGGAGAGTCTGTCCTGTGATGAAGTGGTCTCTGAGCCACTTCCACTGGGCTGTCACTTCACTGTCTGGGCCCCTTGCTCAACCTGTGCACAGGTGACAGTGCAGTGGGTTGGAAATGAGTTTGGGGATTTGGTTTCATTTCATAGTTTCCTGAGGGTCTTGGCCTGGTACTTCGAGTGGGAGAATTCCTTGTCCCACAGACTCGGGCTCTGGGGCCGTGCAGACTTGAAGTGGCCTCAGCCTGAGGCTCAGGGCCCGTGGTGAAGCGGAGCATTTTAGTCCAGGGTCTGCCGGAGGCTCTGAGACTTCTAGGTAGTGAGACTTTGTCGAGGATGATAATAATTCCTCCCCGAGGTTCAGATTTCCTTGCCTGTGAGCCGGGGTAGTAATAGTTTCTGAGATGATTGCAATGATTCAGTAAGGGGCTCAGCTTTTGCTGGCAGGTAGCTGGTGCTTAAGGAGCAGTTGTCGCAGTCACTCTGTTAGCCTCTCACTGTATGCTCTGTGCTTTGAGAAGTTGTGTGTTTGGTGAAAGTCCCGCCCAAATCCTAGGGTCTAGATGAACTGTTGTTCCTTTACTTTCCCTTCCTTTTCCTCTTTCCCTTCTGTGTGTCTCAGGTGTAGGTAGAAGATTCCTCTGTTTTAGGGAATATGGGTCTTTCTAGTAAAAGGACAGGCTGAACGTGGAGAGGTGGGGTCCGGAGGGGGTCTGGAGGGTCTTCACAGCGCTGCTTCCCTGTGTTTCTTCATCCGGTCCCGTCAGTGCACTAAGTCAGCCTTCCTCTTCCTTCCTGTGTCATCAGGCCTCTGTTTTATAAGAAAAACTTTTTTACGTTTCTTTTTTCACTTATATGTTTCGTTCAGATGCTTGTTGTTTTCTCTCTGTGCTTCAGTGTTCCGAGGAGAGAATTCAGCAGTGCAGCATCCTCTCCGAAATCTATGAGTTCATCGGCCTCCACTGCAAGTCCGCCTTCTTCAAGCGAGTGGCCCCCGTGCAGCACGCTGCTCCCGGCATCCCGGATCCTGGCGGGAAGACCTCATACCGACTCCTTCTGCAGACGCTTCCTGGCTACAGTCTGTCGCTGGACCTGCAGGACTTCAGCAAAGCTTTTGGAACTAAAACATTGCTTCAGTCCCATTAACCATGCCTGGTTTGGTACCTGCTGTCCTGTCTCATCAGGGTGAATTCTGATTCGTATAGAATAGGGCTCAGCAGAATTTTTTCTTTCTAGGGCTTGGGAGTAAATATTTCAGGGTCTGCAAACTTCCTGATCTCTGGTGCAGCTGCTCAGCTCTGTTGTTCAGACGCCAGAGCAGCCGGACAATCCACACACAAAGAGAGCTATGTTAACAGCGGTGGCTGGGGCTGGATTGAGTGTGTGAACTGCACTTTGTCCCCACAGCCTCCTCACTATTGACGCCTGCACCAGAGCGTGCATTTGCGACAATGCGTGAACCTACACTGACACGTCATCATCACCCAGAGCCCAGACTTGACACTAGGTTTTACACTTGTAGGTGTGCACTCTGTGGGTTTGGACAGAGGTACAATGACACGTATACACCGTCACAGCATCATACAGAGTAGTCTGTCTTAGTGACCCTAAAAATGTTCCGTGCTGCACTTCATTCATTGCTCCTTCCCCTCTACCCTCTGACAGCCACTGATCTTTTAGTCTCTGTGGTTTTGCCTTTACCAGAACACCATACAGTTAGAATCAGACAGTTGCAGAACCTTCCCAGATTGGCTTCTTTCACTTAGTAATATGCATTTAAGGTTCCTCCATGTCTTTCCATGCCTTGATAACTCATTTCATGTTAACACCATTAATAGTCCATTTTCTGTTTGGACCACAGTTTATTTATCCATTCACCTACTGAAAACCAGCTTAGTTGCTTCTGAGTTCTGGTGATTATGAATAAAGCTGCTATTAACATCTGTATGCAGATTTGTGTGTGGACATAAGTTTCCATTTTGTCGAGTAAACACCATGGAGCACAGTTGCCGGATCATATGGTAGGAGCACATTTAGTTTTTAAAAAATTGCCAGACCGTCTTCCAAAGTATCTGGGCCATTTTACATTCCCACCAGCAATGCATGAGAATTCCTGTCGCTTCACATTCTCACCAGCACTCGGTGCTGTCAGTGTTCTGCGTTTTGGCAGTTCTGACAGGTGTGCAGTAGTACCTTGCTGTTTCAGTTTGCATCCCCTTGATGACATGATACTGTGGAGCATCTTTCCATAGACTTCTTTGGCATCTAGAATTCTTCTTTGATGAGGTGTTTGTTCAGATATTTTGCTCACTTTCTAATGGGTTATTCATCCTTCTTTTTGAGTTTAAAGAATTTTGGTATATTCTGGGTATCAGCCCTTTATCAGTGTGTCCCTGCCCTTCACCTGCAGCAACGGAATTGTCCTTTGGGTCTCAGTGGATTGTCAGCCCTTCAAAGAGGTTCCCTGTCTTCCCTCAGCCTAAATACAGTCCTTGTATTTTTCATTTTCATTGACTCATTTTGTTCTTTTTAAATAGCATTTTCCATAATTTGTAAGTATATTAAAAAAAAAAGGGCAATGATTGAGCACAGCTTCCCCACCAGGCTGTGTGCCCTGTGAGAGCAGAGGCCCTGTCACCACTCAACGTGTCCTATGACAGCACATGGCACATGTCCATGCAAAAGTGTCTAACGTGGGGCCAAACCTGATGAGCAGCTATGATGACATGTGTTGGCTGCCATTTATTGAATAGAGTTTGTTTCTTGATTTTAATTATTAAATCACATGAATAAAACATGTTTCTTTTAAAAATAAAACAACAAAGCACACCTCTATGTGATTGGTACTTTCTACTTAGCTTTCTGATCCAGGAGAGGACGCTCACCATCATTTTGTGGAGGAGGTTAGGGAGGTAAAGTAAGAAAGTGAGATCAAATAAAGTAAAAATGATAACTATCAGCTGGCTTTATTTTCACTAAGACATAAAAGTTACTTTAAACCCTATCTCAGCTGTTGTTCTGTTGTTTTAAACATTTCTCATAGAATTAAATGGAAGCCCACTAAACCCTGAAAGGGAAATTGTGTGCTCAGGTCCTGAAAAGTGTTTATGTTTATTTCTTGAAATGCACATTTTGCCTGCTTTTTACAGAAAGTCGAGGCTGGAAAACAACCGATCACTGTGTGTGTCTGCCGGCTTCATGGGCTGCTCACAGTCATTTTCATTTTCCTATGTTGCAATGTATGAAGGCTTTCCATCAGACCATTTGCTCAGCCTTTTCCTGAACGAGGGATTGAATTTTCCACAGGAATTCTTATGAAAGAGTTTGACAAGGCACATGCGTTTCCCAAAAAGCAATAGTTGATGTAATAAACTCTCACATTGGTGAACTATTTTAATACAAGTGAGTTGAAAATTTTATCACTAGGTCATATGCCACAAATCTGTCTTAAGAATAAAAAGATTCAAATTTTATAGAAGAAGCTGTTTGAATCAAGTAGAAATTACGATTTGTACACTATTTGCTGTTAGAACTTATACTCGGTCTTATCATAATTGCCTGTGGTAGGAACTGGATCATTATTTATTTATTTATTTAAAAAAAATCCACTAGGTGCTATTTGCCCCATTCTTGATGCGGCAGTGCTGAGGTTAGTTAAATTGGGCCATTTAGAATTCTTGGCTAGGTTTTCGGGACATTGATTTCAGCCTCTATCTTTTTTAGAATCTCTTATTCTGTCACTCTTTGGTCTTTTGACAATGTGGAAATACTGCAGGGATCTGTCCCTTTTTTCCTGTGTTTGTGGAAAAAGATTTCTCTAAGACACACTACTAGGACATTAAGGTTTCTGTGTGGGTTAAGTTTGGTCATCTCTAAGGATTTCAATTAATACGTATTAATACTTGCTATTCAGCTAATGTTAGTAAAATTATAAAATAACGTAAGTATACATCAGTAAGTATAGTACAATAAGCCCATCATCCAGATTAAGGAATTCACAAACTTTTCCATATTTCCTTTATTCAGGCCTTTGTTCTTTTCCTTGTCCTTTGTTGACATATTTGACAGCAAATCCCAGAAGACATGTCATTTTACCCTATTTACTCAAGTAGGCATGTCTGAAAAATGAGGGCCCTTTCTTTGACAGGTTTTTCCATTTGACACTTGTGCTCATTAAGTACCAGCTGTATCAGGCATCTCACTAGGCATTAGGGATCCTTGGGGCAATGAGACAGTCCTGGCTCCCAAGGAAGTTAAGGGCTGATTGAAGAAACCAAAACAGGAGCTTTTGTGCCTCACCTAAGGTACCTGCTGGGTGACACCAAGTGGACAAAGTTTGTGCACAATACAGTGTGATTCACAGAATGGACTGGTCAGACTTGTAGGGCAGGCCATGAGAGAGGCAGTCAGCAGGGCTACAATAAGTGGAATCGTTTGATCAGAATCTGAAATCCTTTCCGCCAACCTTTGTACCAAGCCCCCAGGGCCCATCACACACAACCCTGTGCTGTAACTGTTTTTGATTCTTGTTACCACATCTCCTTCAGGAAGGATTTAAAGGTGGAAAATATTTAAAATCAGTAATTGTTGACAGAAGGGACATAGAACAAGAAACATGGAAACAACACAAATGTCCACCAGCACATGACTTGATAAAGATGAGGTGATACATATCTATAATGGAACACTACTCAGCCATAAAAGATGCCATTTGCAGAAACATGGATGGAACTGAAGACTGCCATTCTAAGTGAAGTGGGGTGGAAAGAGAAAGAAAAATGCCATATGACTTCATTTATGAGGAATCTAAAATTAATGGCAATAATAATAAGTCCACAAATGAACTAATTATTATTTTAGTTTCTTGAATATGTGTAAGCACATCTGACTGTCCTTTGTGATTGGATTACCATATTCTGTTTATTATTCTTTTGTAGTTGGCTTTATTCCTCTTGTAACTATGTAAGTTAAAAATCTAAAGCTCTAATCTCTGCTTAGAAACAGTAATTAATACATATATGTTAATGAAAAAATTGCAGTATACTGTATACATGTATTTACATGAAATACGTGTATGTTGAGTTGAACTGTATTAATTCTACCTAATATTACCGAAAAAGAAAAAAAATAATTTATTAAAAAAAATCACCCCTCTTTGAATATTAAAACTTTTAGTTCTGAGATTCTGTGGAAGACAACATGGAAGTAGGTTTTTAAGTTTTTCTCCTTGCCCCTCAGTGAGCAGCCTGGGCTGCACAGCTTCGCCGCCACAGGCACCCAGGACTTGCCGGCTTGCTCCACACTTTTTGGGAGGAAGGTTAGCTGCTTCAGGAATATTAATGCTCTTAGAAGTTGCTGAAAACCCCACAGAGCTTCTGTTTACATAGAGTGTATCTGTCAATATACCCCATTTTAGAAATTAGAACAGAAAATTTTAAACCCAAGAACTGACAGACACACGCTGTCCCAGCATGTGGTCAAAGCAGTGCTGCCACGGTGGCTTGTGCCGGTTCTAGAAAACATGCACCGTACACTCAAGCATCAGGGTGAACCCACAAGTCTCATCTAAGCAATACTATGAAGAGGTGGGACCCAAAGCTCCTAAAATAGTGCTGAAGTCCCCAGATGTCCCAGAACACACAGAGCCATGGGATCAAGAATCCAGTGTCTCATGGATCATCAGCCGTGGAGACTGCGTCCTGGGTCAGGAGGAGCAAAAGTAGGGATAGAAGGTAACTGTCCTATTGACAGCAAAGCTTTAAAGGTGTTGAATGGACTAAAAGTTTGGCAAAGATTTGCATTGAGAATACTACATTTCCTCTCCGGGAGATGTTAGAAGGATAACACTCACTAACAGAGGATGATTGTAATGGATTAATTATGATACTGATGACATGAGCTGCTATCACTAACCCTGCACTCAGTGTAGACAGCCTTTTATGTACACACTTAATTATGTTTGCACACCCCTGCAAAGTGGCATTAAGCACTCATACAACCATGAAATCAGTGACTATAAAACAGTCATAAGGCTTCCTCTCCAGCATGAGGTAGCAAAACCAGCTATGATTTTCAATGACAAAACCCAAAATCATATATATTTGGGAAAGAAAGCAAATGAAACACTGAAGAACAATAAACCAAGACAGCAGATGTAATGGAAAGTTTTATTGAAGAAAGCAATGATTGATTCAATTAAAACAGCTAATATCCCTGGTATAATTGAACCATCAATCCAAATTTTTGGAACAGTGAGTTGTGAAATTACTGTCTCATTTATTATTGGAATTCCTAGTTGGTCCAATTTGATATGCATGTTAGCTATTTAGGTAAATAACAATATTCCTATTTTTTAAGTTAACAGGAAACATAACACAGGACTCCAGATTTAAAGAGACAATATAAACAACTACTATCATGCTCCATCCAGTAAGGACAAGTGTCCCTGCATCACCAAAGCAGTGAGAATTTGCACACAGAAAACAAAGTCCTTCAGTTGTAACAAATACGAGACCGTGAGACATGAATTACGAGAACAAGCAACTGTTTAAATGCCATGGGAAAATTTTTTTTATCATCTTGAAAACATCACTGATGCGCTAGGTAAGAGAAAGAATTGTTTTACTAACAAATCCAAATGACACAGGGGTTTTTTCCAACTGAGAACATGATTCCAAACAGTGCGGTAAAATGAGTAAAGATGATCTGTGCAGTTACGGAGATGGTTTTATACTGGCAAGCATCACGATTCCTGGTTTTACACTTGCTCTCTGCTTGTCACCTCTGACACAAGAACTCATCAAATGATTTTTTATTCTCTTTAGGGAAAAAAAGATAAATAAAATCTATCTACAAGATGTGGTATGAAAAGCGGTAATGAAGTTGTCTAACCTAATAATGCAGCCAGTGTAATGTAGCACTTATTCGGGCACTAGAATTTTTTAATTCATGATTTCTTTTATATTCTATTTCTATCCTAAAAGAGACACTTAAACTTTTCTACTTTATTCAACATATCTTGTGGGGGTTGTGATATACAATGGTATGGCCGTTTTCAGATTTAAAATCGCCTCTGTGGTTGTGGTCAGGAAAAGCAAGGCTCCCTCACAGCTGCCACGGAGAAGGAATCCCCGGAGCCAGCCTCCGAGCAGCTTCCGAACCGCATTTGCTTGCATTTGGCACAGGAAACCATCAACAAGTGTAACACTGACAAGGTGTTATCCCCGGGGACCTGGGAGGTGTTCTAACATTGTAAAGCCACTTGTTTCCCAGTTAGATAAGGCTTGGAAAAATAGTTTATTGGAAGTGACTTCCTTTGTATGTGCCTTTTGTCCTGAGAGGTCACTAATTAGCATAGAATATAAAGTATACCATAATGTAAGAATTTAGGTACTCCATATTTCCATCTACCTGTCTGTTTATCATAATTATACTTAGGTTACACTTTCTATGATGTTCAATTCATGGTACCAAAAAAGAAAGGTTATAAAATATTTCTTATAAAAAGCGGGGACTGGGTCTAAGTTTTCAAATCCACTACTGCTAACAATAAATACCAGATAATATTTTTAATCTCAATTGCATCAGACCTTTCCGAGTTCCTCCCTTAAGTTCACTGTTACAACAGTAATGGAATCTCTGTTCTTCCAAGACTCGGGTCTGATCATCACCCATCCAGACATCTGTATGTGGGTCCCTACTTGTCCTCCAGGCCCCCCGAACACACCTTATGGGGTGAACCTTCTTCAGTGTTCCTACTGTAGGGGAAACCTGGAAGTCCCAGGCACTGTCCAGGATTCATACCTACCTGCAAAAATCAAAGTCATCTGACTGAAACGGGACAACCCAGGTGGTGTGTTAGGGCTGAAAGCTCACCAAAAACAGGTTTGGGGGCCTTAGCCATGCCCTCCGGCTCCTCACATGAAGCAGGACAGGGAAGCCCAATTAGCCACGAGACTGGGGGCCTTCATTACTCCATGAATTAAGGATTTGTGCCAGTGCCACCTTTCCACAGGGAATCACAGAACCCAGACTTGGAAGCACTCCGTCCCCTCACCTCTAAACATACATTATCACAAGACACATAGTGAGAGATGGGAGCCTCGGTGAGCTCTGGAATTAGATGTAATCTGAAAGACTGCTGCTAGCAAATGGTGTGGCGATCGGGGAGCCCCCAGGACCACCAGCCATTCTGGTACCACTGATGCCCACCCTTCCATCCACAACTTTCTTCAGGACCCTTATGCACACATAACCATCACACATAAATGATTGCTTAGACTTATTTTAAGAGAAATAACATTATGAGAATGCCAAATTCATGACAAGTCAGAGTCAAGACCCCAGAGTATTTACTGAATAAGATCTCACGTGTGCTCCCCAGTGAGATTTAAACCCTTAGGGCACAGTCATGGAACAGTAGGCATTTTCTTTCTTTCCTCCAAGTTGGCTTTACTGGAGAGCTCCGTAGACACAGGAAGACTCTGGATCCCACCTCTACTAATTACACATAGGGCTCACCATTTGGAGTGGTATCAGCGCTGGTGTGACAGGCTTCGATGTGAGCACTCCCCTGTTCAGCTCTCCGAGGAGCAGAGCTCCCACTACAGGAGCAGAGACCCCCAGGTGCAGAGCTCCCCCCAAGGGCACTGCAATGCCTGTAAGAATCAAGTGTCTGATGAGTGAGCCTGGGGCGGGCAAGACAGGAAGCAAGCACCGCTCCCTCAAGCTCTGCAGATGATCTCTGTGTCATCTTGAACAAATACAGTCAGCATTAAAGACGTTTGACAAGAGAGTAAAAGGTAAGGCCTCCCCAAATTTCCACGCATTCCTTTCAGTGGGAGTCCTGGTAGAACACATGGTGACAACAGATGCTGGCTTTACGTGCGCACGTTGCCCTCAGGGCTACAGGGGAGGCCACGGTGCTGCCTCTGCCCCATCTCCTCCCCTCGTGCCCCAGACTTCACAGGGGCCGCTGACTCATTTCTCTGACTTTCTTTCCTTGGTTGTGCTGTTCTTCCAGCTTTTAAGAGCTCATAATAACCTCACCAGAAAATGTTTAACAATGAAACCAAGTCAAATGAAATCAACCACAGAAACAGACTGCCTTCATCATTACTTTACATTTTAGGAAGAAATTCTTGACCTGACCTGAAGGGATGCATGGAGGAGAAAAGAGAACAAGACAAGCATTTTTGGCACATAAAAAATGAGAGGTAACCAGATGGTGGCTAGTTTTCATTGCACCTCTCTTTCCGTCCCAATTTCACATGCCCCCCCCCAACTGAACTCATCAGAACTCGACTGAAGGAGACGGCTCGGCAAGTTTATTGGAAACCAAAGAAATCGCTACAGAAACAGTCTCCCAAACCCAGAGAGAACACTGTAAGCTGACCGGTGCCCGAATCTAAAAACTAAAACACACAGATCCAAACTCCGACCCCTCCCTGGTGGGTGTACTTACAGTGGGGGTGTCGCCGTGCAATTTGTCAGCATCCAACATATAAAAATGAGAGGGACTCCAGTTTTCAACATCACAGTCCCTCTGAAACAACTGGTGGTCAATTAGCGTTTGTCGCCAGCAAAACTCGATTTTCTCCCCTGCACGTGGAGGTCAACACACAGAAAAGACTGATGATCCCCGCTGCGATTGTAGCTAAGTGTTTCTAAGCAAACTGGCTCCATCATCGTCCTGATGAGCAGGGGAGTGTGTGAGCCGCGGGGCTCAACAGACTAACGGCCAGGCAAGGAGGGCGCTTCCTTCCTTTGGGGAGAAAAACGCGGAAGCAGCACTCGCTGGAAATAAATTCTAATTAAAACTTCAGTTACGGTTCCTGCAGCGGAACCCACGCTGCAGATGAGGCTCCCTCCGAGCTGTCCAGTCATGTGAGACAGGCTCATTAATATACCTGTGTGTTTGGTTTAGCAAGTGAATCATGTCTGTTTTCTGAAAATTACGTGAGGGTGGAAAACCTTCCAAACATGTTCATTTATTTGCTGTGGAATTTGTTTAATCCTCTTAAGAGCATTTAGAATGAGAACCTTCTTAAATTAGCATCTTTGCCGGAGAGACCTTGCCAGGCACATGCACCGAAACCTAGGACAACCCAGAAGAAAAATCAAAATCGTTTCTACTGCACAGCACTGCAGAATGTGTCCAGTTTGAGAATCAAGGATTTTTTTTTCTCCACACACTTTTCCTCCTCTGCCCAAATTAATGAGCCTCTGTTGCTCTTCTATAATGAGTATCGTATGACTCATCTTCTCTGCCAGTAAAATGGAAATGGGAACTATTTCTACTCAATAAAATGTCATAGAACTAACTCCCAAAATTATATATATTAAAAGAAAAATACAGCCATGGCTTTACTCTGTTCAAGGATATGAATCATTTATTTAAAGTATCAATTGTTATTAGAATAAACTTTTCAAAATGTAACCCCTCCTCAGAAAACTTCAACTACTATTGAAGAAAAATATCACAGAAAATTTCTGAAAAGAATTTAAAGGAAAATCATTTTTAACTGAATCATATTCTAGGAACACTGAATAAATTCTATTTAGAGGAATCCTACTTTTTTTTTTTAATAAATGACCAATAAAATTACACCCAGCATTCATCAGTAAATCTTCATTCCTTATTTTTAAAATTCTTCAGGAATGCTATTTTTCTTAAATCAAATGAGGAGGTATTTGCAAGCCAATGGACAACGGAATTACCTAAGAAGACATTATAAAG